TCTTTTAGAGGGAATCAAATCACGTTATATATAGGGAAATAATAAGCTTTCCTCTAGTTTGAAAATAGAATTTGATGGGACGAAAGCAGTAGATAAGAATATTAACTAACACATTTAAACATACCCAAGTTATAATAAGCTTAGATAGAAATTCTCTCTCAACCTCCCAGACACAAATTTAAACTTCTCGACACTATCAAAAGGGCTCCTATGGTCTTTATTTTGGTAAATTTCTGACCATCCCTCAGACTTCCACAAACCTTTATAGATAATTTTTAAATTAACTGTTTTCTTTATTTTACCTTGGTAGCAAATCAAAATTCAAAGTCTATGGACTAACATAATCCTAATATCAAAGATGAACAAACACATCATTTCTAGTTTGATGTAGGAATATATACATGGAAAGTCATAATGCACTTTGAGCTTTGATCAACAAATATATGAAGAATGATCATTCTTTCATCAAACTGATATGCTAGGCGTAGACATACTAAAAATTTCAAAGCATCCTAGTTAAAAATTTGAATAGTCTCCATTGATTGAGTCATAATAATAAAGATTTTTAGGTTGCGTTTGGGAAATGAGATTTGGATTTGGGAGGCAGATTTGGAATCCATGGATTTGAAATCCATGATTTGGTATATCCCTCGTTTGGATCTCTTTATTAAATTCAAGGATTCAAAATCTTTGATTTCAAATCAATTGTTTGGACACACTTTACTATACATGAGTTTGGATTTAAAATACATGTTTAAAGAAAATATAAACTCTCTTATGCGAAACAATGTAATGCAGGTACGAAGATTAACGACAACAATGCTTCGCTAAATCAGCGATCGATCTAGGCAGGAAGCTCAAGAACAAATTGCAATTTTCGATGGTTTTTAAGCAAAAGTGCAATGTACTAAGTTCAAACCTTTTTGTAATGATTTGTTCTCTTAACACAGTTCAACTTGTAATAGTTAGACTAGCAGATATACTTGGCAACTGAATCGCTCGCTCACTAATCAACTGAATACAGCACAAACACAATTGATAATATTATTGATAACAACATGCATGCAACAGCAGTTCCGAAAATATTTGGGCGAAAGAAAGTTAAACCTTCGTCGGGTTGAACTGGTTCGACGGGAGGATCCTCTGGAGGCTGTTCGACGACGCCAAATATGAGGGGTGGGAGTTCTCTACCGAGGGCGACGTAATTAGGGTGAAGTGGTGTATCCGGGTGGAAACATCGATGCCACGAAACTAATTTCCAAGCGGCTCTCTACGCTATCGACGATCTGAGGAGTCACACGCTCGATGTACTCGGGTACGCTCTCGAATTATTGATAATCGAACCACGGGGAAAGATCTAAATCCACTACTCTAGTCTCCTGATCAATCACGAGTGCGGCGTCTTCAACGTCAGGATCGGCCATGCACCAACGGTCAACGGAACCGGACTAGAATTATATTCCAACATATTTGACAATGCAAGTGGGTCTGAACCGAGGTCAAATCTGACCCAATTGAACCCGGTTCGGGTCTGAATTAAGACAAAACCAAGCTAATGAAATATAGATCTGAACACGTGAACTCAGATCCAAATGTTCCTCTTGTTCATTCTGAAGAGAGAGAGGGGATGCAGGTTGTAGATGGGAACTAGTGGGGGTCGGGTCGGTGAAGGTAGGGCGGGGCTGAAGATGTGGAGGCGAACAGAGGCAAGGGCGGCGGCTGGCTGTGTTGCTGCAGGAAAATGGGCGGGTGGCGGTTGTTGACGGCGAGGGATTGATGGCGGAAAGGGGAGGAGGACTGAGAGAGGGGCTGTAGGTCGGGGTTGTTGTGGGTGGGTTCGTAGGAGGAGGGACTGGTGTTGATGGTCGGAAAAAGAGGAGAGGGTGGTGGTGGTTTGCGGCGGAGTTGCAGGGTAAAGTTGAAATCCAAGGTTAATTTAGGCCCTTTAGAGCTTTAAAATCTATCTATATTGTAAAATATAATGGATTTGAAATCCAAGCCCAAACATTAAATTTAAGTGTAGTTATTTTTTGGCATACTGTTGGTTTCTTAGGTAATGTAAGAGTGGTTCATTTTTAGGCGAGAGTTTGAGTTCTTACGCAGCAACGTATGTTAGTTGAGTGGTGGATGAGTAGTATGAATTTCAGGGCCGTACCTAGGAATTTTGGGGCCCAAAGCGAAATATTAGATGATGCCTAACTGATACAATTCATAATAAATTTTATCTCATTCTTCTTACCTTTTGAGCTGCAAAATTACTGATTAAAGTTTTATATTCAATATTTTCTAACATATTATTTTTGATAGATAATATTGCTAAACCATTTAATCTATCTTGTAACATGGTTGATCTTAAATAAGATTTTAGTAATTTTAATTTCGAAAACTTCTTTCCGCGGAAGCAACTGTTACGGGTATAGTCAATAATACACGATAAGCAATACAAGTATTTGGAAAAGAATCTAAACGTTTTATATAGCTCAACAATTCAATTGGACTATTAATCTCTACTTTTAAAATTTCCCTAAGCACTCTCAATTCTGAAAACAAATCAAGTTCATTAATATCTAAATGTTCATCATGTTTTAGTGCATTTTCGAGATTAAGACAATAATCTTTCAATTCAATATCATTTAAAGCTTTTAACTTTTTTAAATCAAACAAAAAACCAAAAAAAATTCATATGTTTAAAATTGTTCAAACCTACTTTCAATTGAGCCAAGCGATTTATCAACTATGTATAAGAAATATTCAATACGAAAATATTCTTTAGCGTTAAATATTATTTCATTACCAATACTTTCATCAAATTGTTTTTTTCTATGAATTTTACATTTTTCTTGAAATATAGGCTGTACGTTCATTTCATTAGCAAGTTCTTTAGTTGAATTCAAAGCAGATATAAAACCATTTTGTCTATAATTTTCTAAATATACAATAAGACCTTTTAATTGATCTATGGCAATATCAATATGCATATATTTATATTGTAAGATTTTACTAACTGAATTAACAGCAAACAATATGTCATGCCAAATATTCATAGCTAATAAGAATTCAAAATTTTCAATCTCATAAGTTGCTAAGCTATTAGCTTCACTTTTTATTTTTGGATCTTCACTAATTTCTGCTAATTGAATAAAAGCATCTCTTATATTTGAAGCTTGAAATTTTATTGCTTTAACACTTTCAATCCAACTTTCCCATCTAGTTTGAGATAAAGATTTAACGGATAACTTGCATCCATTATCCTCTAAAATTTTCCATCGTTTAGGATAACTTGCATCCATTATCCTCTAAAATTTTCCATCGTTTAGTAGATGAAGCAAACAATGAGTATATACGTTGCAACACTCCAAAAAAAGAAATAGATTTTCCATCGTTTAGTAGATGAAGCAAACAATGAGTATATACGTTGCAACACTCCAAAAAAAGAAATAACTCTAGGACATGAATTAGCTATATCACATAAGACTAAATTTAAATTATGACAACCACATGGTGTATAGAATGCGATTAGGGTTTTTAGCGAACGGTGTGAGTGTTTAAAAATATTGGGGGGTGGGGGGCCCTACCAAAAATGAGGCCCAAGGCAACTGCCTTAGTTGCCTAAGGGTAGGGCCGGCCCTGATGAATTTCATCTTTATTTCTATGAAAACATTATCATTTTTATTGGGGCGGATACTCAAAAAGATAAATAAAGTATTAATATAATATTTTCACTGGTTTTTATGAACTTATTTGTTAGAAACAAAAAACTTCTTTGCAAACTGTGTCAGTTGAATGATAACTTAGTTTTTGTTAATTGTTTAACATGTAGGCCTGTCCATCCGGGCCGGCCAAACCGGAGCCCGGACTCGGACCCGGGTACCCCGGGCCGGGTCCGGGACCGGGCCCAACCGGGCCGGGTTCCGGGCCGGCCCGGGTTTTTTTCTTTTTAAAAAAAAATTTAATCAAATTTTTAAATTTTATTTAAATTTTAAATTTATAAAAAAGACAAAAAAAAAATAAAACCAGTAATTTTATTAATCACTTAAAATAACATAAATTACAAATAAAAAATTATAAAAATAAATTCTTTATTAATAATTAATAAATCATTTACAAATTACAAGTATAAATTTATTTTGGAATTCATCGCATCACAATAGATAAGTACATCCCATCTAGGTTTTTTTAAATTTCTTTTCTTTTTTTTTGATAAAAAAATGCTAAAAATTAGTTTAATATTATTATATTTTATATAATTATGTATTAGTATATACTTCTAAATTATTATGTAACTATATATTATATATACATATATTATATGTAAATACATTGTATATATTTATAAGTTATAATTTGAGAGAGAGAGAGAATCGCATAAGTAGCCGTTGCCCGTTGGGCCAATGGAGAAGAAGTAGCCGTTGTAATATACTATACTATATATACTTATATACTAAGATAGAGAACACACATATATTATACATATATAAGAGAGTGTATACTTATATATACTTATATAAGAGAGAGTATACATATATAAGAGAGAGTATACTTATATATACATATATACTAAGAGAGAGAGTATATATATACATACATACATACATTATACATATATAAGAGAGAGAATTCTTATATCTACTTTCCTTAATAACTAAAGGAAAACCTTAAAGTGAACAGTAAACATTCTTATCATCCACGTATTTATCTTCAATTAAACGATTCCCCCACGTTCTCTCTCCACGTTTCTCGATTCTTATTTGGGAAAAACCAGCCCAGCCCACGTTCTCTCTGCCTCTCTCTCTCTCACCCTTCTCTCTTCTTACCTCTTCCCCTCTTTCTTCTCTCCTCCGAATCCTCAACAAAAACCCTAAAAATGCGATCTTTAGCGCCCAGGTATTATCTTTTGGATCCCTTCTCTTCCTATTTTTTCGACTTTTCAAATTACCCACGAAATCAAACAAAAAATGAAGGATAAATCTCCAAAGCTCCGATTTTTTTCGACTTTTCAAATTACCCACGAAATCAAACAAAAAATGAAGGATAAATCTCCAAAGCTCCGATACGCAATGGTCTGCTCCTCGAAACAGAATCGGAGCATGGAAGCCCACTCCCTCCTCCAGCGCCATGGCTTCGACGTCTCCTCCTACGGCACTCGGGCACATGTTAAGCTCCCGGGTCCATCGTACCGCGAGCCCAACATCTACGAATTCAGAACCCCTTATCACAAGATGTACGATGACCTCCTCCGCAAGAACCCTGAATTGTGAGTGGAAAGCCGATTTTGCCCTTTTCATTTTCTTCATATCTACTGTTTTTGCCATTGTAAAGTTAGGACTTTTGTGGAGTTTTTTTAGGTACAAGCGTAATGGGATCTTGCCGATGTTGAAGAGGAATATGAGTGTGAAGCTAGCGCCTCAGCGCTGGCAGGATAATGCTGCTGATGGCCCCTTTGATGTTGTTCTCAGTTTCGAAGATAGGGTTTTCGATGCGATCGTTGATGGTAATTGGGTTTTTGTTTTTGTATTTTTTTAGTTTTGTTTTAAAGCTGATATTCCACGATTGGGTTTTGAATTTGATTGATTTATATGAGTTTCAATTTGGAGTTTTTATTTGAATTAATGTGCAATTCCGAGCTTTGATAGTTTTTAGAACTTGCTCTCGTGAGATAATGACAATTACAATTTCAGATTTTGAAAAGATGCCTAAGGGTATTAGCTGAAATTTGGTTGAAAAGATGCCTAAGGGTATTAGCTGAAATTTGGTTGAAAAGATGCCTAAGGGTATTAGCTGAAATTTGGTTGAAAAGATGCCTAGAGATATAACCGTCTACGACTGAGCCTTTATGAATATTTGGTTGGTAATTTATAGTTTTGCTTCAATTTGCTTTGATGGATGGTAATTTATATGGAAGATTGATGAAGATTCTAGCAGATACCTATTCTCTTTTAGGGAATGGAATAATTTTCTGATAAAAAAAATAAAACAGGAGATTTTGGTGGCTAACATAAATATAAGGCAGCAGACTAATGAAGAAAATAATAGATAATAACAGATAACACGCTGTAGAAATGGGATCTTAGGAGACAAGAAAAATAAGCATGGAGATATAAATTGAAATTTCATAAATATAAAAGAAAGACTTAAATCATTTCTAGAAATTGTCAAAGTGTCAACACGCCGATTTTGTAGTATTAGTTAGTAAGCAAGCATTGTTTTTGTTCTGTTTCGAACCTCCAACAGCTTATGCATGATGTACGCCGTGCAATGTCAGTGAAAAGCCTTGCTTACGTTCAAAACAAATTGATGGAAGTTGGTACTTTTTTGTTGTCTCCTTCTAAACATGAATAATGCTAACTGAATTATTAATTTTTCGGTACACATGATCAAAATATTTTCCAAGAATAAATACACATAATGCTTATATATCTTAGGACAAAAATAATGTATGTGGAAACACTTAAATGGTAGAACCATGCGTGTGATACTCAATAGGAAATTTATATATTCATGTTCCAAAAAGTTAAATGATATATTTTGCATTCTCTATTAAAAAACGCCCTCAGATTTATATGAGAACATTCCTACTCATATTTAACTTTCAACTGGGTGTTGTTTTTGCTAAGTGTTTAGCTTACAATTGGCATGAGTTTAGCTTAAACACAAATGTCCTCTGCATTTCATATTGATCTATTTAACAATAGCTTTATTTTATATGCAAAGAAATTTGTTTAAACATATTGTTTAATATGCTTTATAATTTTAATTGTACAATAATAATATGTAATTAAAACTAAGATGAGGGATGTTCCAAGTGCAATGGTAAAAAAGAGACAAGGGCCGTGCTTGGCACGGGGTACAAATGTCCTCTTCAAAATTTCGACTTTTTCATATAATAAACTGATTTCTTAGTTTCGAAGGGTTTCGATCTTTAGCGTCAGGGTTTTGAAGCAGGGGACTCTTGGAATATACAATAAAAGTATCGGTTCTTTAATTTATTTCTCTCTTTGATATTTCGTGGTGATTGTCATTTTTCTATCTGGGTGTTCACGGTGATCAGTTTTCATAGTGAAAATCTTCAAGGTTTGTGATTTGATTTTTTTTTGTAGATTTTGTATTCGCTTTCATCTCTCGAGATCATGGTGGAAACGAGGGCTTCTTCTGAACGGTCTCTTCTTTCAACCTCCTCCTCTTCATCAACTGTCTTCAAGCCCAAACACTCCAAAGATAAACAGTTACAAAAATTGAACATGTTACAAAAATTGAAGAATCCATGTCTCTGCCGGTGTCCGATCCTCCGTCGAGGGGCGACGAAAGCGGCGACGATACCGCAGTCGCCAAGGGATCGACGATGACCAAGAGAGGCGCCTACGCCGCCCTATCCTACATGACCTGCGCCGGTCAGTACTCTCTTTTATTTTAATTTCACTCAGCCCTCAGTTAATTTCTTCAAATTGTATATTCAATCTGTTCCAAAGTTTCAATCTATTTTGTTTATTCCTTGGTTTTTCTATATAAAGGCTGCAACTTTAATTCTTGAGGAGCTTAATTGGGCATGTCCTGTAGTCTTCTGTTTGCCCCGGGGGTTTTTTCCATAACCCTAAAACCCTTTCCCAATTTTGAATTTCCTCAACTAGAGAAACCATCTTCCACCTTCCATTTTTTTGTAGGATTTCTGCAATCAAAAAAAAAAAAAAAAAGAGAGCGCGAAATGTTACAATATTTGACCTTGGCTGCTCTGGATGTATTTCGCAGTACTTCTGGTTATGTTCAACAGAGCAGCTCTGTCTTCATACAGTTTCCCTTGTGCTAATGTTATTACTCTCTTACAGGTATGCTATTTTCTCTCTGTGATGCCTGCTTTGTCTGATATATGCTATTAATGTATCTTATTTTTGTTCAGTTATTTCCAACTTTTGAAATAATTGTTTTTCTCATGAGATGTAGACTGCAATATTTAAGCACTTCTTGATTCTTATGTAACTTCTATTTTAGATGAAACCATAAAATATACTATTGACTTCTCAATTTTAATAATTTATTGATTTTGAGCCTTTTATTTCTGGATATACAATTCTCGAAAGATAAGAGGAGGATTTCGAGATAATTGAATTCAGAGTTTTTACTTCTTGAAGAGAAAGGGAGTAGACTTGCTAACTTTCATGTTCTTCCATGTTGATATAACACATCTTTGTACCATTATCTTCTCTTATAGAAAAAGTTCAGCAGAGAGATCTAAATGAAGAGGGTGAGTAACGTGAGTTTGCCTTTGTCATGGTCAGCTAGGTTGTGGCCTCCTACGCACTAGATACTTCATATAGTTTCACCTACTAGAATTTGTGTGATCTATCTTACCCTTTGAAGGAAATATGTTTTTAATGTTTGACAAAGAGGTTTTCATCTCAGTTTTTGGTATAACTATAAAGTATTTATCGAATCAAACTTGATCAAATATTTGGACAAATAATAACCAAACTGTTCATTAATCATGCCATTGATTATTCTAAATTTATGTAGATGTGAAAGTAAACTGTTTTATGTTTACTGAATTGAGTCACATGATCAAACATGGATATGACTATCATCATAGTTCCAGGCTTTTTCCATTGAAACGGGCAAGAAAGAATAACCTTTTTTATGTCAGGTAAGTTTTGGCTGATGGAAGTTTTTGTGAAAGCATCTTTACATGAGAATTTGTCTCCTTTTTGGTTTGATCCACCATGATTTTTCTGCATAAGTTTGGTGGTAGAAGTTCCAATGTGACTGGCACCTGAAACATTGACATATCTTTGTTATGTTTATGCAGACCTTTCACATTTCGAAACGGTCATCCAGCAGCTGAAAGCTCAGGCAGAGGAGGAATCCAGACAGGATGATGCAAATGACGAACCTACAAGTATACCACAGGAGACCGCTGATGCAAATAAGGTCCCTTATCATACTCTTTCAATCAAACTCGAACTCTTATATTTTTCATCAAGGAATGTTCCATGAGCTTGAAATAAGACAAGGGTAAATTAACAAACTCGAACTCTTATATTTTCATCAAGGAATGTTCCATGAGCATGAAATAATACAAGGGTAATTTAACAACCCCCCCCCAACAAAAAAAATACTTAAATTCTATTAAAAAGATCGAATAGCCCTAAATAATAAAACATCTTCTGAATGCTTTGACAGTATATAGTATCTGAATGCTTTGAGAAAAAAATAAGTTTTAAGGTATTATTTATAGTCTTAAATAATGTCTGTTTCTGGATGTACATTATTTGAGGACTTTTCTTTTATCCAAAATAATGGAGGAGTCGATGTACTTGATTTCCCAACTTACGAGTTGCCAAAATTGCAAGGCTGTAATGTTGTTATCGTTGAATAATGTTTTGTCACTTCCTCATCATTCTAATTCAACTTTATTTAGAGATCTAACTTTCGTTCAATTGATTCTTAAAGTATAAGATAATTATAAGATAAATTGCACGTGACAAACCACAAAAATGTTGTGGGAAAAAATTACGCACAAAAATAAACTATAAGGATGCCGTGCTTAGCACGGGATGAATACTAGTATACTTATATAAGAGAAAGTATACTTATATATACTTATACATATATATACTTATATACGAGAGAGTATACTTATATATACTTATATACTAAGAGAGAGTATACTTATAAATATATTATATATACATATATTATACATATTATATATATTTATATATACATATATTATACATATATAATATAATACATAAAAATAAAAAATAAAAAAAATTAATCCGGGCCGGGCCGGGCCCGT